TAGGGAACCCAGATTCAGAGTCCCCTCGTCGAGCCAGGGGCCTGGCTTCAAAAGCTGAGTCCCCCACCCCAGGGAGTCTCGAATACTTGGGAGACCACGTCTGGTTGAGCTCAATGTAATGGCTACACAGAAAGCCCACTACGACCAGCTCATCGCCGGGCTGTAAGTGGCAAGAGGGAAAGGCAGACCCTTCTCTGATGCCACCACTGCCAGCCCCTGGGCGCGGGCCGAAGGGTGGCTGCCAGAAGCGGTGAAGGAGGGTTCAGCATAGGCAGAAGTGACCTCAGTGGGCGGCCAGGATGTTGGGTCATTGACGACAAGTCCCAGGCATCTGGGACCATAGTCCAGTGTGTTTCCAGAATGTCAAGGGAGGGGTCTGGCTCGAAACATACATCTGACAGTGCACGGTTTCTCCCAGAATCCCAGGGGTGGGTGGGGAGTGGAGCAGGGGCCCTACCCTGAGAAATGCCGCTAACCAGTGGCTTCCACCAGCTTCAGTGGGGAGGTGTCGCATTCCTTCACCCCCAGCCTAAACCAGGGAATAGCAAGGCAGTAACTAGACCCAAAGAAGGGCTTTGGCCTGGAGGTCAGTGCTAAGGGTCCCCTGGGTGCCAGGCGCCAGGAAGAGGAGATGAGGGCAGGGGCAGGTGTGGGGGTCGACTGGCAGAGGGGGTCTGAGGGGAGTGGGGACGCACCTGGAGGACAGAGACACGGTGGGAAGACACAGAGGGAAGAGACAGGCCAAGGACAGAAAACGATGGAGAGAGTTGAGAGCGCAGCTGAGAAGAGAAAGAAATCCCAGCAGGGAAACTGAGGCAACAAGACCATCGCGGTGTCCCCGCCTGGGAGAAGGCGCCCACCCCTCTCCAGACCAATAGAAGGTGCTGCCCCAAGTCCACAGCGCCCTGTCCTCTCCACCCACTCCGCGTTCTGTGGTCCCTCTTTCCCGCGCCACTCACCGGACTTGCCCGCCCCGCGGCGCCCCAGGATTGCCAGGTTGACCTCTAGGGGCGCGCTCTGCGGCCCGCTGCCCGCGCGGGGTTTTCCGAACACCGAGGACATGGCGACGCTGCAGAGCGCCACGGGTCTTCGGCCGCTGGGCCCCAGAGCAGTGCTCCCGCGGGTCGGGGCTCTCGGCGGCGGGACGCGCGCTGCCCTGGAGCTCGGCGGCCCGGCCCGTCTGTGTCCGCGCCCTCGGTCCCACGCCCAGCGCCGAGTGCGCTGCGTCCCAGCGGCCGGCCCGACCCTTCGGGAGGAGGGCGCGGGTGGC